GGGGGGGGGGGGGGGAGGGCATCTTGCACTTTCCCCACATCCCAGTGTAACGTCGAGCCATCAAGTGATACCATTCAAAGTTTGTAGAAACTACTCATCAAATCTTGCAAAGATGAACGTCAACACTTGTACAGCTATGAACAGACAAGAGGAAGCAGTGGAAGTGCAAAGCCGACCTGCACGTAAACGTTTTCTTCTTATCACATGAACAAATTGATCCACTCCTTTCACCCTTTAAAGGTGGAGCACGCGTTAATTTGATGTTCCCACGCTTTCTTTGGATATGGTAGCCTTCACCACAAGGATGGAGAAGGCTAATGCCGTTTGGACTCCAGAAATTTCGGCTCCGAGCTCATTTTAAAAGTGGCAAGATCACCAAATCCGCTAAAAACTTGTATATAGGGGTAATTCAACATCCTGATCACGAATATGACATTCATTTTTGGCGCTGGCGCTAATGGATGACACTACGGTTACCTGCGCTCTGCTAAGGCTGAGCCCAGGAGGTAATCGTAGTGTCCTCTCTTGGCGCCAGCGCCAAGAATGAGTGTCATACTCGTAATCAGGATGTTGAATTACCCCTATATACAAGTTTTTAGTGGATTTGGTGGCTTACTATCTGAGCCGCATAACTCAACATTTTGAACGTCGGATCTGCATTCAAACTAGGCAGTCAATGAGCGAAGATTTCTTTTGAGAGATTCACGTTGCGACAGCGAGCACAAACCAGCTTGTATTCCTTAGCTAGTTGCCATTAGATGCATTGTAAGGCCTTGCCCACTGCGGATGCTGTGGCGCGTCAGGGGGCTGGGCTAAGTGTGGCGCCGTCCCGCTTTCTAGTTATTGTCGCTTACCCACTTCAACGAAGGGAAAACGGATTGGCGCCGCGCTAAACCCAGCCTCCCTTACACGTCTCAGCCACTTCACCGAACAAGACTGTACATCCACGCTAATCAATCAGGCCCCGCGTGAACCCCAAGCAACTGATGTTACTCAGTACAGCGCCGCGTCACCACTGCCGCAACGCTGTTCTCTCACAGCAAATCCAATCTGTTATCTCAGGAATTATCGAATCTACAACAAAATGAAATATAGGATAAGGTCAAATCCTACCTTGATCGCTTTCTCAAACTCATTCAGTCTGAAACACAGAGCAGCTTCGATGAGCCGTGTATCTCGCGAAGCACCGAAAACATTGACCAGATCGTCCAACACACGTCGACATGGCTCCCTTTGGTTCGAATGAAGCAGCACAAGAGCCTTGAATCAGGAGGAAACTTAAGCAGAAGTCTAGCTCTGCCTCTTTTTTCCCCACTTTGTTCATGCGTTCATGAGGTTATGCCAACCATAAAACTTACATTGTTCAACATTAGCGTTCGGCGCTGTCGTGTGGATAGCTTCTTCTGGTCCAACTGCAGAGCGGTTTTCAGTTTCTTTCGAGAATCAGCAAGACTTTGGTCTTTCATTGCGCTTGCCATGTTATTTGCAACAGTCACCATAACACTCACGTCAGAAGGCCTAGAACAACATCACTTCATACTGAAACAAGAACTCGATTTGCGAGCAATTATGAGGCACATCCCCAAGGTATAGTGACGGGTCTGACTCCGCGCATACACAGCGCGCGATTCGTCTCCAAGCTGTCAACCCACACTCGTTGCTCAACTGTTCCAACTATTTATAAATTGCCCTTATTTGTTCGTTTTTTGGTTGTGCGGGAATTCGAAGAAGAACAATCTGGAGTGGAGGTGTCAAGGTTGGGATGGGTAGGACATGGAACAAGGTGTTGCTGACCCACGCGAAGCCATGCCCACCTGTGGCGGGGCGTGCGCTTGAACTGAACGTGTCGCACATAAAAATTCATAACTCGGTTCCGAAGCAGCCCAGAAAGGCTGATTTGCAAACTGGGGCGGCTTGGGGGTTACACAGGACCCCCTTACAGCCATACTCTGGAGTATGCACAGCGAATGAATAAATATGTATCTAATATTTATCATTAGACGCCTATACAATTTCTCTCTGAAAAACTCCGAACAAAGAGGTAAAGAATAAGGTCAGTGACTTAAATCCCACCGAAAAATTTTCTCCACTTCACGTTGGTATAAAGCCATACAGCCGTACCGCCGCTCTCTGCCCA